CGGCAATTCGCATCGGGCTCTCCGACATTGGGTAGCAACCTTTTTAAGGCAGCTGTTGCTCTCATTAGCCGGGGGGCCAAGCACCTAAAGTGCTCGCGGAAGCTCCAACGGCTATCCAGGATGAGTCCAAGGTACCTCATATTGGACCCAACTTGAATACGGACATCACTGACAATGATGTGGGATCCCTGTGGCGGTGCTTTTCGAGGCCTGTGAAAGCAGATGGCCTGGGACTTGCTTAACGCCACTTCCAGCCCCAACATCCTAATTCTGCCAACAACCAGTGCCACTGACGTAGTGGCAATACGAACGGCTACCTCATAGGTCTCCGCCCGGGCAGTGACCAGAGTATCGTCTGCATAGCAGATTATGCCAGCACCCGGGGGAAGGTCTCCCCGCAACACCCAGTCATAACCGACGTTCCAAAGAAGCGGTCCTAAAACCGAGCCTTGTGGAACGCCGCACGACATTACTCTCCTTAATATCCTGCCTTCCCGCCCAGGATAGCAGACACATCGCTCAGAGAGATAGCTCCCGATTATTCGTCTGAGATAGGGAGGCACCTTGTGGTACTTCAGTGCCTCGCTGATGCACTCCCAGGGCATGGTGTTGAAAGCGTTGGCAATATCTATAGACACTGCCAATAAAACCCCACCCCTTGCTAAAATCTCATCCGAATGGGCCTTGACGCATTTAATAGCGTCTATCGTTGACCGACCCATTCGAAAGCCAAACTGCTGGTCTGACAAATCGGGACCCATCTCTTCGAGATGCCCGATAAGACGACGGGCTATTATTAGCTCGAAGAGCTTATCTGCTTCATCGAGCAATACTACAGGGCGGTAGGCGGAGGGAGAGTCGGCGGGGCGCCCATCCTTCTTCAGAAGGACTAGCCTGCCCGTTTTCCACTGTAATGGGAACCGTCCCATCTCCAGACAGGCATCAAATAACCTGCGGAATCGTTCCCCTAGTTCCTTGAGGGCTAAAACCCAGGCGCGGCCAGGAATGCCGTCGGGACCTGGAGCTTTGTTTTTTTTTGCTCGGAGTTTTAAGACTGCCGCACCAAGTTCCTCCAGCGACACTCGTGGCACCTCATTCTGTCCTTCTTCCATCTCCTGTACAGAGGCCATTGCTGGTGGTAACCACTCCGCTCGATCTGGAAATAGCACGTTCACCACATCCTTAACAAATTGAGGTTGGAGACTCTCCGTGAGTGGAGGCGCCCAAGATCGAAGTTTGCCCCCTGACCATCTTATACGGACGTCCCCATGGATCTTGGTTGAGGGTCTCTAAGAGTTCCTCTCTTGAGCGTGTCTTAGCCTCGCGAATGGACAGCTGCAGAATTTTCCGGCATTCTCTATACTTTTCGTATAGCTGTTCTTCTACAGTATCGTTACGAAGCCGTCTTCTACGATATCTGGCGTACAGGCGCCTCGCTTTCACACAGTTAGTGCGTAAAACTGCTATCTCTACAGACCACCAGTACACCTGGCGCCTAGGAGGTGGGTGTTTGGCGCGGGGCATGCTTGCGTCACAGATGTGTGTCATAGCATCCTGAAACCAAGTTGTCTCCGTCTCAACCTCTACAGGCCCATTTGGTGGGGACAGCCACGATTGGACAATAGAGGCTTCAATGACAGCATCTTTACTCATACTTCTCAATACCCATCTTTTGGTTAATGATGGGATATGCCTTCTGACCGGACGACCGACGCTCAGAGTCTCTGGAGAAGTGGAGACATCGAAACGAATGTAACGATGGTCCGACAACGTTTCCACGTTCTCCAAAACTCTCCAGCCATGAACGCGGCTTGCTGTGGCAGGGGGATGCAAACGAGACGTCTACGATAGATCCTTCCTGTCTCCGCACGCATGTGTAGACCGATCCCTGATTCAGCACTGTTAGGCCCGTTATAGTCACCCAGTCCTCTAGTGCCTCGCCACGCGCGTCAGTCATAGGAGAACCCCAGACAGTAGATTTGCGTTAAGGTCTCCCATGACAAGTACTGGGCGAGGTAGGTTTTGCCCAATAAGAGCCCCCAAATCGCTCAAGAATGTCTCAAATTCGGCAAGGCATCTGTTTGGAGAGAAGTATACCCCAATGAGAATTATTTCCCTCCACAGAATCGCCACATATCCCTTACCTCTCGCAACTATTGTGGAAGGTGGGACGCCTGCAGCCGTCGACGATATGATGGCCACTAAGCCATCGATGTCACCTACCCAGTTGTTCCTGGAAGCGACGAAGTATGGCTCGCCGACCACCGCTATATCAATCATCCACTGTGCCATGCTCTGCAAAAGCAAATCCTGTGCGCCGGCACAGTGGTTGATGTTGGCCTGAAGGAGACGATAATTACAATTATCAGCCATCATGTTACTGGACTGCCATCGCCTCCTCCATTTGAGGTTGCGTAGGCGGGGTCCTTTCACCCACTATAACGCCCTTTCTTCTTTGTTTTGGAGGCGAGCACCTCTTGCTCCCCAGTACGTGGTCAGCCGGCCTGTTTGCTGCAATACACAGGGAACATTTTGGCGCAGCCGTGCACTTCGCTGACTTATGGCCAGTCTGGCCACATCGGTAGCAGTCATTACTACGGTCCACATCTGAAGTGCACTGCGCGCGCACATGTCCACTATGCAGACACTTATAGCACCGTAATGGTCTATGTGGCAATATTTTCACCTGTGCTGCCACCCATCCGATCAAAAGACGCCCGCCCCCTTCAACTTTCTTGGCTGCAGGTACCGGGCAGCTCACCCAGATAGTACCAGTGCCAGAGCTTGTACTGCGGATTTCGCCTACTTTCACCATTTCTGCAGGACATTCCCCTTGCTGTGCAATGGCAGCAACAACTTCCTCTGTAGTTATAGAGTCGTCCAGGCCAGAGATGCGCATCTCTGCACATTTCGTTGGTCTAGATACTCTAGCCACCTTCTCAGGCAACGACTCCTTTAATATCTTAGCCAACGAGTCAGCTTTATCGCCGCTCGTTGCTCCTGGAATCTCTAAAATGCGGGCTCCAGTGGCCGCCTGTCGGTACCACAGAGATTCGATACCGAGGCTAGCAAGGTCGATCTTCTTTCTAGCCTCTGTCAGCACCTTTGCATAAGTTTCTTTTTTTTTTTAAATCTTTATTCATATAAAATACACAGATTTAAAATAATAATAAACATCGCCAAACTGTGCAACAGTTTGTTGGCGATAATGGCGCTCTTTTGTTATATATTAATATGTATTTTTTGTTACATACATACTTATCTTAGGTATATTTATTACAATAAATATCTCTATCTTTAATTAATACTTATTATAGGTAGTACATTTTACTTTTCATAGAAATGTATTTTTCAGTCTTTTTCTTTAATGTTACTGTGCTTATGTCTTTGGACGTATCTCTTATAAAATCTATTCTATTATATATTAGCAGAGTTAAATATTGCCTAGTTCTCTTACCATAATACCTAGTTTCTTATATGTGGTATCACATATTTACCCTTCTCAACTTGCCTGGTACGATATTTATGCGTTATAGGTTGTTTAAATTTATTTATTTTATATTGTTCTAAAGCAATTAGGTAATCTACCTTTTGATGCACTGGAAGTATTTTACATATATTAAATAATTTGTCATAATTTTTTTTACACTGTAATTTTACTTTTTTACTTACTAAATACTTAAGTAGTCTAATCTGTAAATGTTTTATACGATCTAACTGTGTTTTGAATGTTAGCCCATAACTGCTCAATCCATAATTGATTACCGAGTCAGCCAGTGCATAATACAGTACGTACAAGACTTTTCGATTCATGAAATTGCTTAAGTGAGGCCACGATCTTCAGCTCCGGGCTGCAGTGTTATAACTACAGCCGCGGATTTTGGGGAGCGCAGTTTCACAGATGCTGGTCTCTTGGAAGGATTGATGGTTCCTGCCTTGCGTTTTTTACCTCTTCTCACTACTGTGGTCCATCCTTCTTCCGTGGACTCAGGAGGTTGAGGGCGTGATTCTGTTGGCTGGTTGGTTGCCATTTCTGTTGTTCTCCCTTCGTGTCCCTTTCCCTTTCTGTTTCCTCTTTGTATTTCCAGCGCCGGAATTTTCTTGTTGCCTATTCTTGTTTTTACGGCGTATTTGTCAGCCTTCGTAATTGTATCAGACTTCCGCCGTAGTATGTCTGCATCATTTACTACATCTCTGCGCACGTCAGCAGCCAGCGGAGGGCGGACACGCTTTTCTGGGAGAAGCCGCTCCTCAAGCGCCTCCAATCGCGCATTCATCATGTCACCAACTTGGCGCATAATGGAACTTATCAATTCCTCACTTTCCTTGTCTCCTCGCACCTGAGGAGTTGGTGGAGCAGGTGTTTTATTGATCCTCGCCATTTCAAGCCGGATTTCAGAAAACTCTTTACGAAGCTCCTCTATTTCACTGCGCAGGCAGGTGTTTTCAGCCTGCAATTTCGCCGTTTCTTCATTCACTGACCTCTTATGTAGGACCTCCACGACTGTTTTTATTGACGTGGGAGCATCCTTTAAGGCACGTTGAAATGTGCCTTTCAGATTTCTCGACTTGGCTGCTACCATCAGTATGACTCCGACATCGTCGAGAACCTGTTGGTTGAGAGCCATTGCCGAACGGCTGTCATCTCCGACTAAATTAGGTAGCCCCAGGGCAGTTCGTTTTTGATTTGCAGCACAAACCATTTGTTCCACTTGCCTCTCAGCCATACTAAGAGCTTCCTCAGGCCCTGGCACTACGAACTCTCCAGAATTATCCATTAATGGTGTCACCTCTTTTCCTGTCTCAGAATTCGTCTCTTTTAAAAAAGCTTCATTGTCGCTGGACGATATTGATTTTGTAATACGTCTCTTTTTCGCCCCACGGGAGCGACCTCCAGACTTAGAAGCTGTCCTTGATACATCGCTACATAGGCTTTCATCTGATTCCGATCCAGCCTGCTTATCTCCTTCTGATGTTTTATAATTTTTATATTTTTCCATTTTTTTTCCCACGAGTGTGGAGGAAGTAACGGTCCATCCGAGCAGAGCCCCCTTTGCCCGGATAAGCCTATGCATAACCCGTCAAGGGTGTCGGCCGGTACCCTGACGGGGGGCAACGCTAACGACTGAACATTTACCCATCAGCCATGCAGCTCCTCACGGCGTGCCACGCTTGAGCTTCGGGTGATTTTTTATAGAGGTTATCATCCTCGCGACTCCAGGCGGTTAAGCCAAGAGCCCTCGGCCCCTCAGGCGCCGCGAGACATGATCCACGACACGCCAAAGGGATTCCGAGGTTCGAACGGTGGCAGAGTCGATACAGCTTCTTCCCATGCCTGCCCAGAGACCGGGTGAGGGAACCCTGAGCCCATTCAATTTCCTTTTTTTTTCAGGATGTAGTCCCTGAAAATCCCGCGCTGACGCGCTGCCCGGCGTCGGCAAAAGCTGAGTGCACCTGGCATCTCACCGCGCATGTCACATTCTCTGTTCCTCTCAATGGAGAGGATACGGGAAGCAACAAAAGTACCTCGTACCTATGATTCCATTCGGAACTACAGGTACGCCCAAACCCAGCCAGTTTTGGTCCGCGACGGTTTCCCGCTACCACTCATATCTGACTGGCATTCCCCTATCCGCCACCTGGGGACGCGCCCGATGGGAGGACTGGCAACTCCACACGGGGACCTAACCTAACCTAACCTAACCTAACCAACCTGCGCTCCAAACGCCGTCTCGTTCGCAGCGTTTTAAAACCGCTCCGTACCTCAAAAATCAAAGTTGTGGGTCAAAGTGACTAAATTATCAAGTGTGATATACCGGAAGATTCGCCTCGCCGAGGCGCATACGGTGATATAAGAAAAAGTGAAAAAAAGTGCGGCTAATAAGAAATAAACAGTGAAAAAACAAGTTTTCATAACCTAAAAAACAAAAAATTGAAACGCTGCCAAAACTAAAGCTGTACCATAGTGTTTTTAAAGTGCTATAAGGTGTATCTAGGCACGCTTCATCTTCCTGAACAGTTTTCTGATTTTTCCGACGCTCACGTAGGGAAATATAACCCAAAAAACAAAACCACGTGGACACGTGTTTTTTGACCCGAACATCTGAGGCCAATTACGACATTATCAATTTAAAGAGGACAACAATACAAGACGTTTGACATATCGTTCATGAAAATCGAACAATAAACAAAGAAGTTACAACACTTTAAAGGAAGAGTTTCTTGACTGAACATTTTAAAGACGATTTACAAAAAATTTTCAGCGATAACATATATATTTTTTACGCTCATCAGATGAAGCTTTGCAAGACCTAAAGAACGACACCAATATTGAAATTTTTTGGAGTGCAAACTAAATAGTAAGAGACTTTTTTAATATTAAGTAAAACACGTGTTTTCCTGAAAGTGCTCCTGAAAATTGTGAAAAAATTCCTGGAGGTAGCTTAGGCTTAACTATATAAACCCAAATTTTTTCAAAATTTTTACATCAATAATATTCGATTTAGAGGCTATTTGCGGTTCTTGGTTTTTGTGATGTTAATTTCATTTGAATACGTTATCAAAAAAAAAAAAAAAAAAAACTATAAATACTTTATCTAGTTATTTAAATATTGGTGAAAAAGTGTAAACTTCTACGTAAAAAGTGTGAAACAGCTCATTTTAACGTAAAGTGACAAACTTAACAAAATATTTTACGTAAAACAGTGCCCGGTAAATCAAAATAAACTATGGTTTTATCATATAAATGTGGAAAACTTTGAGTGATTAACAGTGACAAAGTGCTAACATTCCTGCGCAAATTCCATTACCATTAGTCATAATAACGAACTTTTACGTTCACTGCTGTCTTATGTACGCCTATTTCGCCCTTAGCAGTGAAGAAAGGATAGCCTCGCGGTTATTAAAGCGCATATCACGTAAGCGAGCACCGACTTCAAATCTCACATTGCTGGTTCTTTTTGTACATATTATTTATTTGAGAAAAAATATTTCTAAGATACAAAAATGAATTTTCTGGAGAACATAACATTACGACGCACTCGTACACAATCTGACTCCAAGGACAGATCTTGCACTGTTTCAACACTAGATGACACTGTTAGTAGCCTACCGGATTTATCTACAGAAGACGGAGATGACATCTTAAGTAAATATAAAGAACAGATAATTGCACTCACTACACAATTGAACAGATCACAAACAAAAATCGAATCTCTTACATTAGAAAATAATAAATTAAGAGAATTAAACAATAAATTAGCTAACAAAAATGACAACCACAATAAAAGGATTGATATTTTGAACAAAAAACATAAAACAAATACGCCAAAGGAACAGACTTCAAACATGAATACATCTATAAAAAAAATACAAACAGATGAAGTAACGGCAACATGTAGTATATCTAACGAAAGGAAAAACAATAGTAAAATTGACCCTGATAAACAGAATTTAAATATTGACAAGTCTTTAAATAATTGCAAACAAATCAAGCGATCAAAGAAGATCTCCATACTAAGTACAAATAAAAACAATAAAATACTTCAAATTGCCGAGAATAATTTCCAAGACTTCCTAGTGTGCCATTACCTCTACCCAAATTGTGATTTACAGTACCTATTGAAAGATATTGAGCGAAAATTGGAGGGATACTCCATGGACGACTACTGCGTTATAATGATCGGAGAGGCTGATTTTAAAATAACCAAAAATTATTTCGAATTGATTTATTATATTCGTGATATCCTACAGAAGATCAAGCACACGAATATCATAATTTGCCTTCCGACTTATAAGTATGGATACCTAAATAACATCTTAAATTGGAGGGTTGAAACATTCAACAACCTTTTATACCTTGATATAATGACCCATGAACATGCATTCTTATTGGACTCTAATAAAAAAATAAATTATGACTACGACATGTTTCACAAGCATTATGGTTTTGTAAATAATAATGGAATGAATACTATATTCAAAAACTTAAAGGAGCTAATTTTTGAAATTCAAGACTACTACTACTACACGAGCGAAGAGCTTATCATTAATGACCAAGAGTCTCCTAAAGAAATAGAATCTTCGTTTTTTCGAGACTAAATTCTTATACATTATGCATCAAAACATTGCAAGTTTACTGAGCAAGTCGGATGCGTTGATGGTAAATTTGGAAGAACTACTTGACAGATATATAAGTGTTGACGTTGTTTGTATTACGGAACATTTTATGAAAGCAGGATCTGAATATTTTTTAAATCTTCCAAATTATATACTGGCGGAGTGCTTCAGCAGAGAGGACATCAACAGAGGTGGTGCTTGCATTTTAGTTAAGAACGGACTCAAATGGAAAGAACTTCTAGAATTTAAGAGGTTATCAATAGTAAATGTATTTGAATGCTGTGCCATTGAACTAACTGACTATAAAATTGCAATTATATGTATATATCGCGTCCCAAATCGAAGTAACAATTTTGATATATTCTTTGACAAATTAGAAAAGCTTTTAGTGTGTACTTCAAAATTAAAATGTAATAATGTACTAATTGCTGGTGATTTCAACATTGACATGTTAAAAAATAATAATATAACGTCTAACCTAGAATGTTTACTATTAAACTATAATTTTAAATTAGCTCTTAAACAACCGACTAGACTTAGTAGTAAAACTTGTATAGATAACTTTGCACATAACTGTGGAAAGGCATGTAGGGCTGAAGTGTTGGAATTTGGCTTGTCTGACCATACTGCACAATTAATAAAACTCCCGGTTAAAAAAATAATTAAACTAAAACACTGGTACAAAACAATACGAGATTACAGTAAAGACAACATACAAAAATTTAAAATGTGCATGGGAAACCTATCCTTTTCTGAAATGTATACTATGAATGACCCATACATTGTTTTTTGCTAGAATATAGACTTTTCTATAACTTATGTTTCCCATTAAAACAAATTAAAATAAAAGTAACTTATAAACCAAAATGGATATCACATGGACTAAAAATTTGTAGCAAAAAGAAAAGAGCTTTATTGTGGAAATATAGAAAATCACCAACTAGTGCTAATAAACTTAACTACAAAAAGTATACAAAACTATTTAAAAAAATTATATATCTGACTAAACGAGCCCAAAATAATTACAAAATAAAAACAAGTGACAATAAGTCTAAAACAACATGGCAAATTATTAATAAATCGAGATTAAATTTACCCACTCAGTCTATATCAAAAATAAGGGTAGGCAAAGAGCATATAACTAATACTGAACAAATTGCTGAGGCATTTAACAACTACTTTATTGACAAAATTAAACCATTAGAAGGATGTGGAAAAAATATTGATAGAAACCTCAGACGCATGCTCGGCTCTATGTTTTTGGCTCCAAGTCTACCACTACATATATTTAATATTATCAAAAATATGAGAAACACAAGTAGCGTAGGGCATGACGGCATTGCTACTAAAATAATCAAGTCCGTAAATAAAGAAATTTGCCATCACCTGAGCTATATCATGAACCTGAGCATAGAAAGGGGTATTTTTCCCGATGAACTTAAAGTCACCATCGTGAAACCTGTATTCAAAAAAGCTGACAAAGAATCAATGGAATGTTATAGACCTATAGCCTTAATATCAATATTCTCTAAAATATTTGAAAAATATCTTTATAATGAACTTAATGATTATTTGGAAAAAAATGACATTTTGTGTAGGGAACAAAAAGGATTTCGCAAAAATAAAACAATAAATATGGCACTCTATGATTTTTATAAAAATGTAATAACACACGTTGACAACAGAACACCGGTATGTTCACTATACTGTGATATGACTCATGCTTTTGACTATGTTGACCATAATATTTTAATTCACAAACTCGAGGCATATGGTATTAGGGGCAATGTATTGAGTTTGTTCCAGTCTTATCTAAATAACCGTCGTCAAAAAACGGAAATATGTGGGTTAAATGTAAAGACCAAATCTGAGAACATAAGCT